CCTTTCTTTGGGGTTTGGGTTATGGTGGGGGGGGGGGGGGGGGTTAGTCAATATGGTGTTCAATCAGGCACATGTTGCGTCACTCGGTCCGCCTGTTCTCGTTTGGTTTCTTCCCTCGCCGTCTCGTCCGTCTGCTGCCCCCCTCCCGCCCCGTTGGTTGTTGTTGCCATGTCCGTGCTGTTTCTGGGCTTGTTTCGTTTGAGCACTTTTTGTCGGCTAGCCTCCTTTTCATCCTTGTGCCAGGAGGTCATGAACCTCTTAGCTTCCTGCAGTACCCCCGTATGCCACCGTACGCCCCGCTCCACCGTCGCTACTCCGAATACGCATGGCTCGGCATCCGTAGATCTGTGCTTCGCCTCGAACATCTTGAGGTAGTCCTTCGGGCACATCTACCAGTTTGGCTCCGGTTTCCCCCTGCCTGGGCGCTCCCCCCCCGCCAGCTCGCCAAGCATCAGCCGTTTCGGGAGCGCCCTACCCTCCTGAGGGTCTGGGCGTAGGAAAGCTGCCGGTAGGTGCCCTTCTTGCGTTGGTAACCGATAACTCTCAGGAGCAGCCGGTGACGCAACGACCGCAACAGCCGGTAGTGGTCGTGACTTGGGGCCCATGTCATGCAACCGTACAGCAGTGCCTCCATCGCCTCCGCCTGGAGCAGGCGAGCCTTGAGTCGGAACGGTGCTCTGGGCCTTTCGAAGAGCTCCCGGCCATATCTCCTGACGCACGTCCACGCTGTTCTGCTCCGGCAATTGATCTCCCGGGTGAGGTAGCCATGTTCGTTGACGAGGCCACCTAGGTACCGGAACTCAGTCGTCCGGGCGTACCTCTGCCCTGCTGCTTCGATGATCAGTGGTGACCGCGATGGCGGCGGGGGGAGCGGTGATATTGGCCACTTTGCCTTGACGCGCATCAGGAGCGGAACTCAGTCGTCTGGGCGTACCTCTGCCCTGCTGCTTCGATGATCGGTGGTGACCGCGATGGCGGCGGGGGGAGCGGTGATATTGGCCACTTTGCCTTGACGCGCATCAGGAGCGTCTCCGTCTTGTTCTCCGGTACCGTCAGCCCGAACTCCCCGAACACCTCCACGATGACGGCCATCATTCTCACCAGTCCGTAGGCCGACCTCGATACAACGCCGGCGTCATCGGCATACAGCATCCCCCATACCGCCCTACGCACTCGGTTAAGAAGTGTCCCCGCCGGCGCTCCCGTCTCTCCGCCAGGTACACCATGTTCTGCAGAATAAAATCATCCTCGCCGAATCGAATGATAACGACCTCGAGAACCGCGGCGAAGAAGATGTTGAACAGCAGTGGGAACAGCACGCACACTTGTTCGTAGGCCTTGTATGACCCAGAATCGGTCCGAAAACTTCGTCGTCCATGCCCACCCATGACATTGGTTACACCTATGCATACGCTATAGTCCTGTTGCTTTCTGTTCGTCGTTTTTGGTTTTCCTTGTTGCCCTTTGTGACTTAATTTTCAATGAAACTGTTGGAATAATTACGCATCTTCGCAAGTAGGTGCTGAGACGTACTCGGTTGTTCGTCTTTCGCATCTGTTATTTGGGGTTATACTCGTGGCCACAGAAACATTTGCCTTGAAGAGAATGGAAAGAAGAGGTATGATTCTTAGTGTGAACACGAGGACGACAACAACACAGCAGATTGGTGTTACCTGCTGTGATGATTCCTGTTTTTCGACATGAAACCTTGTGAATCCCGTTTTTTTGTTTTGTTGCTGTGATTGCACCAGCTGGATTGCACACACCCTCACACATGAACGGCCGAAAACAGAACAGTCGGCCTAAAAAAGTGTCACGGTAGAGTATTTGGAGTAGGCAGGCATTTGTGTCATATGGTGCGTTACCATGGTTATTTGGCGGTATAAAATGTTGTAGATACTGCTGCAGCAGTACTGGTACTTGGGAATTATTGTTATTACGTTTGTTATGTGTTACACTTGGGTCTGGTTTGTGTGAGATTACGGCTGCATGGTGAACACGCAAGGGAACAGGAAGGCAAGAAGGGAAGGGTAGTCTTTTTAGTCTTACTACGTTCGTTGAGGTTCGCTGGGCCCTTCCGCCCAAAAACACAAAGTGTGTGTGAGCTGTTGAGCTTGGAAAAAACGTCACACTGATGAAGCTGGCACCCACTTGTGGGTTGGCCCTTGGCTGCCTGCCTTTGTTTTCGTCTGCACCACCCCTTGATGACACTGGCTGCAGCTCTCTCTCATCGCCCGCCACATCACCACACAGGCGGGATCACAATAATAAAAACACACACAGAAAGACTACCCATTCGAGATATACCCACAGTTGAACGGGATGTGGTGGAGTCTTTTCAGTGAGTGGAGGGAAACCGGCTGGGTACTGGACTTATTTCGACTCTTGTAATTTTTTTGAAAAATTCCTCCGCATGCAGTTCTTTCCTCTCTGCGCTGCCATGTAATTGCTGGGAAGCTTACTCATCGCACGCGACGCCGGCTACCACAATCTGGTGGAATTGACGGCATTGACTGCTGCTGTGCATGTCGGCAACCATACACCAAGGATACCCTCACCGGCTGTCCTGTCTCCCTAGCGCCCAGAGATAGCGGTCGTCACACCTCTTCCGAGTTTGGGCGAGGAGGGTTGATTTTGCCGTTTAGACTACAGCAGTAACTACAGCAGTAGCCTCCTGCCTCTAGAAGAGGCAGACAGACCTGACGGCGTGCAGCTGTGGGAAAGGGAGACAAAATCGTGCGTAGCGTGCACAACAAACGAAGAAGCTCTAAGCCAAGCAGGACAAGGGTGCCGCCAGAGACTTTTGCCACACTTTTGTGGTCCGGTCCGCCAACGCACGAGGCGCCGCAGAATGTACTAACGCATAGACTGCGGGGTACCCAAAGCACCACACAGCACAGCAGAGCAGAGAGCTGCAGCAGCAAACCGTACAGCTGACAGGACAGGAGGGAGGAGCATGCCTAGGAGCATGGTGTCATCTTCGGGAGCAGCGAGAAGTAGTAGCAAATTCACATCAAAGCGGCGTCGCGTTGTGCTTGGAATATGCCTCGTCCTGCTGCCGACGCAAGGATGTTGCTTCCATAATCTCCCGTCGAGATGCCGCTTCGAGAGCCAGCTCCGTCGTCATGTAACCAAATCAAGGTCGCGGCAGCTGCACAGCCAGGCGCAAGAGCTCGACGGTGGGGATAGCGGGTCGGTCCCTGGTGTACTCCGCGATGTTGTCATCGAGAAAATCGAGGAGCTGGGTGGCGGGAAGGTACAGCAGGTATGTCTGTGTATACATACAAAAGAGGCATACCTGTGGTCGCATCATGCGTCAAGCAAGGGCCCGTGAGACAACTTGCTGTACTGCCGGACCTGCTGTGTGTGCGATATCTTGTGCCCACGTAATCTCTCTTACTTAAAGTGCTGTCGTTTTCAGTTGCCCTGCAGAAACATCATCTGCCACCCACGTGTGATGCACACGATCAATTGTGCATGTGTAAAGGTGCAGGAGACTACGGCTGGACCCGGACTACACAACAGGCACTTCAAGTACACGGCTACCGGCGGGACCTTCATGGCAAAGATCGCGAAGGCGAGCCGCTCGAGTCCTCCGACGAACGACTGGCGGGAGGCCAGTCTGGACAATTTCTTCGCCGAACAAACAGGTCTAGAGGTACGGGGAACCAAGCTTGATGGTGTGCACCTTAGCTGTACGTGCGGATTGACGACTCAGTAACGAGGGAGGCTGAACGAAACGTTCCCTTCTTCCTGCGCACCTACCGCCATCTGTGACTGGCAGGCCATCTTGGAAACGGGCTGCTTGCGTGCCCCCAAGCCTCTGGCTCTCGGGACGTTGCCCCTCGGTGGTTCTTTCCTGCTCATGGAACACATGCCCTTCATACCCTTCGGACAGTCCATTCCAGAGGTTTTGCGGAACCTCGCGGAGGGGTTGGCAGCGATGCACTTGCAAGACCCTCCTCCGTCTTGCGGAGGGTTCGGGTTTGTCGGGGACAATTTCCTCGGGGGAACGCGTCAAGTCAACACGTGGGACTCGGACTTCTCGAACTTTTTCGTGGAGAGAAGGCTCTCGCCGCAGTTCGCGCAAGCCAGGACGAAGTTCCAGGACAGCTGGGGCACCAAGAATGAAGACTTCGAGAGAATAGGAAGGGAGGCCATCCTAACGGCCAAAAAGGTCCTCGAGCCGGTGGCAAACTCGAAGCCGGCTCTTCTGCATGGTGGTGAGTTATGAGAACCAAGGGAGCAGGACTCCATGTCGCCGCGGCATACAACAATATTCTTGTTCCCGGGGGTTGTTTCCGGACAAGCAGTGCGGTTGTTGTCTTCGCCTTTGAAGTCGTTCTGACCTTCACCCAGTACCTCCTCATCCATCTGTACGGCAAAGCAATGGATTTCCCTGGTCGCAAGGTAGCGGATACGTCGGGCAAACTGCCTGCAGCGGACAGACAGTAGTGCAGCGCTGGTGGAGGGGGTTCCGGCGCTTTGCAAGGAGGGTCCCTGCGGGACTTGTTGCCTTGGATGCTTGTGGAGGGGTGTTCAGCCATATCCCTCACCCTGTCCCTAGCGAAGCAAGACAGACGTTCCTACCCGTACTGCCCTCTCTCTTTCGGGGAACTCGTCACACTTCACAAGGAACATCCGCTGCCCCCTGTCCGCGTGGCTTGCGCGTTGCAGATCTCTGGGTGGGTAACTGCGGAGGCGTGCCGGGAGAGGGAAGACTACGAGAGGCGGCTGTTTTCGACCCCGCGGTATGGTATGGTCTACCCGAGTTCGACCTCGCCCTGGCCACGATGTTTGGCGGATTCGGGAAACCATTCTACGAGACGTACCACGCCATCATTCCCAAGGCCCCGGGGTTCGAGCGCAGGATGCGAGTTTACAAGCTTTACCATTACCTTAACCACTTGAACCTGCACGGTGCAGGGTTCGGCCACGGGGGCACGGTCGAGGACCCAAAAGGGTACTATGAGCGGAGTTTGACGTTGATGCAGGAGATCGTTCAGGACGGCTTTTTATGAGCGGACGGACTTACATTAGTTTCGCCACTTGTTCTACCGTAGGTGTTTAATGGCGGATGGCGGGTGATAGTTGTCAGCACGTCTAATCATGAGGTCGGCTTTATGCATCTCTTTCGTGCGGCGGAGATTTATGTTGGCAGTCACGTCTTCCGGGATTTTAAACAGCACCATATGTATGAGCGGGAGACAACACAAACGGCTGAATGTGTTCAACGACGGCCAACGAGAGAAGGGACGTACAGGACCCATCCGTGTGTCCCAACCATTCACACAACCATGCAGCCCGTTTGCGGAGTGAGGAATGAGCGCTGTCGTTGTACGCCGACAATCCGGCGAGCGGTATCTGTCATAAAGCTGAATTTGGCTTCAACGCGGAAGCGGGCACCGCGTAACGACCAAGTTGGAAGAGAGAGAGACAGCGACAGCAGTATTTTGCTTTATCTCCGAAGTTTTACCTACATGTAAAGTCAAGCTCTACAACGTGCATACATGAAGCAACAGTTACTGACTGGCTGGTTTCCTTGCAAACTATTTTTTGCTGAGTTTCGCATCCGACACAGTGATCAGAGGCCGTGCTAAGGGGGAACACACTTTTTTTTTGTATCACTCACGCGTGAACCCTCTCGCCATCAGCACTCACATGCGAAGAGAGTGAAATGAACGAAAATTCGAAAAGGTGAACGGGAGCTCCTCAGTTGTAATTTTCCACGACAACACTCTCTTTCTTTCTCTGTCCAACAAAGCAGCAAGCTTGGTGAAACAAATTGAAGACGTCGCAAACATCTACGGATACACCGACTGCCCAACAACCATTCCACCTGCCAATAGGACACCGACAGCTCTCACGCGTAACTTTTCGTATCCTACCGGATAACTGTACATTCCCTCCGGCACAACATCCAGTCATCTTTTGAACCGAATTTGCCCATCCTGGCAGTGTTAGACCCTGCGTGCTCTGCATTCACTCATATCACCAACTTTCAGCCAAATGCCAACGACAGTCGCCCTTCGTCACATAAACTACGTTCTTCTCTTGAGAGAGATATCTTTGTACAACAACAGATGCTTTTATACTTCGTTCTTTCTCTCTCCCATCACACCACTGACCGCCCATCTATCCGACCGACTAGGCTACGATACACGTAGCCATATGGCTTTTTTTATTGCTGGCAGTCTCGGAACCAAACCTGGACCAACAGAAAGCTCGCTCATGTGATCATCTAGAGCGCAGACGCAAAGAGCTCTCCATCCAAAACCGACAGGAGCTAGCTCGACAACAAATGGCGGTCGACGTTTTCGCCCGTCAATTTCCAAGCGATCACCGGGGATTTGTGGCGATCTCTCCCGTTTTTCGCGACATGTATCTCGTTTTTTTAACCTGGGAATTGTCTGGACTACCAACACACCTAGAGGTTCGATCAATTCTTGAACGGCCGCTGAGAGGTGCTCTTCCCTACGATTCTTGAGTGATCAACAACCCCCCCGGCGCCACAGCCTGTCAGTATACGCGTGGTAGGGTCCGCCAGACCACTTCCCGCAGCAAACCTGTTCTCCCGTAGAATCTACATACATACATTGATCAAGGCGATCACAAGAAAAGGTCTCCTCACCATATTCCTCCCCTAGGCGACCACGTTCCAACCGTTCTCTGGACTCGTTGCCGCCGAATGTTACAAACAAATGCAAAACCGTAAAACAAGCGTTGCCCTACGCTGCTGTTGCTGCTGCAACCACGTATCCGAAAAAACAAAAGGAGCACCACTGAATAATACGCACGCACGCGTCGTATGTACACGGAGTATTTGCCGACGAAATATTCCTGCACCTACTTTTTATAATATATACACAACCACGCCAGCTAAATTGCGCTGGGGGATATCTTAAAACCTCCGCCTGACGAGGGACCCAGACAGACATTCACGACTCATTTATCACCAACACGCCGAGCACACCCTCCACCCCGTGAACACAAAAATGGGAGGGGTACCATTGTCCTTCCAACTATAATGTCTGCGCCACCCCTCTTCTGTCTTCCAACGTTCTCCACGTATTGCGTGGTCTCGACACCCACCCTGACTGGATGCGACGCCTGTCTGCAGACGAAATGCTCTACTGCTGTGGGCGCGGCTATCTTCGGAAAGATCTCGGCGGCAGAGTTCGTTCTGAGTTGCTGGGTATGTCCACCATCTGACGTCGTTGTGCCATCGCCTTCGCGAGAATACTGTAACTTCAGAAACTTTCCGAACCGCACGTCCCCACTTGGGTCCCATAGAAGCCGAAATCAAACCGCTTATAGGCTAAGTTCGTCTTGAACCCCACGACTAGCTGTTACAGAAGCCGAAAGCAAGCCATCAGCTGACTAGGCTTATGATTCGGCGCCTGTAGTCCGGTCCAAGCATCCCTCCACAACCCCATTTATTTCCGCCGAGAGGCGAAGCAAGAAGAAACGCACTACTACACCGTCGACGGATCTGCGCCATAGAAACACCTGTCGCAGACCCTGCACGCTTCCAAGACGCCCACTCTCGGCAGAGGCTTGCGGTGGTCGGAGCACGGGTCGCACACCAGGAGGCCGCACATCCGGCAATTGTGCTTGTCCCTTGCTCGCTGGGCCTTTAAAAGGGGGGAAGAAAGAGATAGGTCGAGGGTTGATAGATGTCGCATTGTTTAACAAAAGTCGGCGGTGAGGGTGTGCCAACCTAGATGGTACCAGTTAGACGATGCTGGGGTAAGCGATGGTTGGGCTGGGAACTATACAATCGAGTTTGCATGTTTTCTACGTAAGTTAATGCACATTTGAATTGTTGAAAGAGAAGGCGGCGCCCATAGATGTTAGAGACCAAGAAAGTTGCAGCAATCGATACTCCGGCCAGCCGCAAGCACCAACAAGTACAACACTACGCGTTGTTTCGCTGACTCGCGAAAAAAAGACCAATTTCTCGAAAAAAAACTCGTGTGAAGGGTTTCTGCGTGTACTTGTATTGGTCAATTCTGCTCTTGGTGGAACCACACCTGCCGCGATCGCAATCGATGACGGTGCCCGCTTCGATCCCCGAAACTAAATCTCAACCTGGCCATGAACGCCGCAGGCAGAGGAGTCTTTGCGCGAATCCCCAGAAAACACAAGTCAATGCCAAAAACAAACCTTCCAACTTCCAACCCTGTGCCCCTGCTTCTGACACCAAACACCCCCGTTCAAAGGCCGAAGGGAGAAGGGAGAGCTCGAGGTAAAACCCAAACAATCGTTTCTATCCGCACACTCGAGTTCAACAACAAAAAAATAACCCCCGAACTGTCTGGCCCCCCGGCCCCCCGGTGTTTGCCATCGGGGTTGGGTTTTCGTCGCTTGGCAACGACGTTGTAAAACAAGCCCCCCACTCGGTGTTCGCCATCGGGATTGGGTTTTCGTCGCTTGGCAACGACGTTGTAAAACAAGCCAATTCACTTCGTGAACTCGGCAACCAGGTTACCGTTTTTTTTTTTTACCTCGGTTTTTTTTTTTGGCGGTAACCATAATGGTGGTCGAGTAGATCATGTTGTGCGGGGTGGAGAAACCTCACTCCGCGCAACGGGGGATGATCGCACCACGTTGTGTTAAAATGGTCAAGCTTCCTCGAGGCAGTTACACAGTGCTTACAACTGTCTCTGGAAGTGAAAGCACCAGAAAATAAATTAAGTCATACGTAGCTGTCATCCGTACGCAAGGAAGTAAGCACAAGATGCCGAACACCCTTAGCAGGATGCAGCTCACCCTTCATGCGACTCGCCAAATACCTCACGGCGCTTCGCGCTTGGTGATGTGAGAGCCTGGTCCGGTGAGAACCCGGCGTGCTCCGTCCCGGCTTTGTAGGGATGCGAGGTCACTGGTCAAACGACTACGGCATGCACGACTATGAGTACACCCCCCCCCCCCCCCCCGAAATGTCTGGGCAGTTTCTCATGTCGATCTGTCTCACCTCTGACTTGGAGGTGGACGCCCACCAAAAATCGGCCTTGCACAGCTGGGACACCTCAAACTCCGAGAACGGAACCCAGTCGGGCATGAACTCTCCCTTCGCCTCGGCTGTGCGCACCGCCGCGATTTCCTCCAGAGCGTCAAAGTACCTTTTAGGATGGATGCGGCGGAATAACAAGACCATCGCGAGGGCCAACAAAAAGGAAAGGGCGAGGAGGACGCGCGTGCGTGGAGGGTATAGAGCAGGTCTGCCTTGTTCATTCGGTAATTTTAGCGCCCGTGCCGAAGCGGGGTGGAATTCCTCGTACTTTCTGATATCCTTCCTAAAGCCAGCAAAGGGAACAGGGTATCAACTTTTTCATGGATTGGCCCAGCGCACCCCCACACATAGCCTTGCATCGTTACACAACACCGGTACGAGGCTTGTCTGTTTCTCTGCCTGCCCAAGGTACACTGGAGGAGGAGGAGGACGAGGAGGAGGACGAGAACGACGCCCCAAGACATTTTGACCTCAAGTGCCGTCTGTCTCGAGTACCCGGGCGGGGACGGAGCACACTCTGAATGCTACACAAAGCAGGCTTTTGCAAAAAGCCCATGGCCACTACAAGCAGGCGCACATCAAACGAGTACGCGAGGGGGGCGGGGGGGGTGGTGAGCGCGGGAGAAGGTGAGGGGTAGGTTTGCCTGCAACTGCCAGCGAGGGCAATATATCACAAAAACACATGGACACTTACGCGATGCTGGCGTGATCCGCGAGCATGTTCCCGTACATCGGGATGGTGCGGAGCGTGTCATGGTCTCTCGGGACCTCGGTAGCTCGGTACACGCCACGCTGGCTGCAGGATAATGGGGAGAACATAGATCCAGGGGGAGGGGTCGCTTCGTGATATTTGTGAACACTGCTGGTGCTGTTGATGCACGAGTCAGCGAGTTGATATTGCAGGAGGACGAGCGAAAACACAACGTACACCGCTGGCTGCACAATACTTGGCCGGCAATTGATGCGGAGACTGCAGTGGATCGATCTACCGTGTAGTTGAGCGAGTGGTCGCGGAGGAAGGACGTGCCACGAGGCTTGGAGCACAGCAGTACACGCCCAAGAACCGTATGCAAACATGTCCAATATTCCGTTCGCTCACCTACACAACCAGAAACGACAGCCGTTACCCACGACGGTACTCATCATCGTTCGGCGGTATACCTTGAACCCTACCAACAGCCAGTACATTACACCATAGAGCGGGGTAAAAACCATCCGCAAATCCAATCGTCTCTACATTAACACCATACAAATCGGGGTTAAAACAAATCTGCAATTCGCCTCGCCCATCGCAGAAAAAGGCCCACAGGCGCCGCCAAGTGTGTGCCCAGTCGTGCCTGTAAATGTGGACGATTCTTCCCGGGACGTACAGCTCCGGGAGCGGCAGCTCTTCCACCACCTCCGCCTCTTCCTCCTCTGACCCCGCGCCGCCGCCGCCGCCGACGACGACCACCGCGTCGTCACCCGAGGCACCAGCACCGTCGCCGTCTTTTCCCGGCACCAGCACGCCTGCCGGATCGCGTCCGGTTCCACAGCTACTCGGCAAGGTGTTGGTGTCGTTGTTGGAAGCGGCGGGTCGCGGGGGTACGGGAGGCGGCACGGCGGCCGAATCCGGGTCCTGCTGCTGGGCGGCGGCGGCGACGACGACGGGAGCGGTAAAAATCGACGGTTTCACTATCCTAAAGTGTTGGCGAAGCTCAAACGTGTCGGATTGATTTTTTGCCAACTGTTTTGGGGCATGGGGGGGCGAGGAAGCAGAAGGCGGCGTTGCGGCAGCCCTTCCAATCCGACAACCAACACTGACCTTGACAATATTACTGCGAATTCTCGCACTTGTGTCGTCGACGATCCGGCTAAGGCGGCTCTGCACCGACCGAACGTCCACCGAGGACCACCGTCCCCGTTGCCACCGACCCCCCTTGGCCTGCACCGCCTCGCCTGCATTCGTCTCCTCCCCGCTAACGGTTTCGGCGGTGACGTCTTCCTTTGCCACCACCACCTCCGTTGGCGATCCTCGTCCACCCCACTCGTCTCCACCATCGACCGGCGCGGCACCGTCTCCTGCCTCCTGCGGAGACGTCTCGTGGAGATTCGGCGACGCTGCTGCTGCTGCTGCTCCAACGCCGTCGCTTTTCACGGTGGATGCCTTTTCCTCTTCGTCGGTGTCGCCCGCGGGAACGATGGCGGTGCTATCGGTGGCACCGGAGGCTTGCTGCACCGCGGCGACCGAGGCCATTCTCCACCGGGGGGCCCACAGTCCCTTGGCGCGGCCGACGACGGCGTCCCAGTCGTTGTACAGGTGCTTCACCCAGCCCTCCTGGTGCGGGAAGGCGAGACAACAAAAGACCATCGGCCGCTCATGAGTACAGAAAGAGCACACAAAATATATGCCCCCTGGTGGATGACGCAGCAGCAGTAGTGTTGCATCCTCATGCGCAAGGCAACGTTTTCGGTCCTATCTGTTAAAACGACGATCCACCGCTCTGCGAGAGCTGTCGTTTCCGTCCGGCCGTCTAACAGCGCGACAACGCCTACAATAACGGGCGGAGTCTCACTCGTCTATCGGCAGGTACGCAGCACATGGCTCGACCAAGCGAAGCGAGACGGCCCGCACACCCACCGCGCCCCTCCCCCTGCACCAAACCCTACTGCACCGATTTTGCCCAAGCAACGCAATCGATCGATCCATCACCTTGGTGCACAAGAGGTCCTTGAGCAGGGCACGAACGGCGTGGGGCGTGACCCTAGGGACGACGTCGTCGTGCAGAACCACGCTCGTGCACAGGCCCTCGCACAGCCTGGACACGCCGATGTCCGCGCAGGCGGGGGTGGCGAATCCTACGACGCGGACATCGGGGATCGCCTTTTGCCAGGGAAGGCGACGGCAACCCACAAAGGACACATATGGCAAGCAAACGATCAGGAGAAATCGTATACATTGTAGATACGGGGTGGGGCGGGTTGAGGTCTCTCAAGTAGAAGTATTGTCCTTCAGGAGCCGGTCAGGGGGAAGCGTGGGTCGTACAATAGCGTTCTAACATGCAAAAAGGACGTACCCCATCCCTAAAACATGCCAGCTGGATCTTGATCAAACCATGCTCGATTTTGACTACAATCGTCAGAGCAGGGTTTTTATCACGGCCACCTCTCAGAACGAAGGTACAGCAGTCAACACTGGCAGGATACATGTCTGTTTTAGTCGCTAAAAGGTCTTCTAGCATGATCCATGGATACGTTCGCTAATACTCTGCCGCGGGTGACTGCAACGACGCCTTTGAATAGTCAGAGAAGAACTCATTCACCGACAGAGCGATGAAGCTGATGCCACAGCTCAATCTGGAGGAACCCACCATGGAGTCCAGGCCTTACCCGAAAATACACACACAAACGTGCCTATCTTGTACCAGACGAACCTATCGCAATTCTCCTCAACACGTGGAGGAATAACCTTATCCAAGAACAGAGGTGAGCTCTTGATCTGCTGAAAACACAAACACAAGGATAAACACAGGTACAGGACACATAACGGTCACGATTCCTGTGCTTACATCTTTCAGGAGGACGCCAAGAAGCGCCGCAACGCCACCTCCAAGCGAGTGCCCGAGGATAACGATCTTGTAGTTCTCCCGGTACAGCTTGATCAGCTGGTGCCCCACCTAGTCAGGAAGACAGGCAGAGGGGAGAGGGGGGGGGGGGGGTAGGCGGATGGCAGTCAGCATTTCCAAGTCAACCTCGTTAAAAAAATGCGGTGCGGTTCGTGGTTCTCAAGGCTGCCTGCTGTGTTTTGTAAATGCATGCCGCGCGGCATCCGGGTTTCTGCCCTCCGATACACCTCCGTGAGCGAGGAAGATGCAAAACATAATGAAACGACACTGACCACAAAAGGCATAGACTTGTGGACCCACGAAGGCACTTGAGACCACTACGGAATATCCCTATGTAGTGCAACTTCGCAGTTCTGGCCGCTCCCGCTTCACGCGGAAAGACGCTTCATCTTATGTATCACGTCCTTCGATTGCACTTTACTCGAAATTCCGCATAATGAGGAGAGATAGACAGAAACGAATCCCTCACTCAGAGCGCTAATATACGTGCAGCAAGCACCATCTCGTGGTGTCTACCTCGCGGTGTAGCCACTCGGCTGCCCTTGCGATGCCGCTGCACGCCACGGTTTCGGTCGGGGGCAAGTCGCTCCACCCGTCCGCTTCTTCCGCCGCACCTGCCATCGTCGACCGCACAAGTTTCGGTTCCGTCCGGGCGTTTTCGTCACGCAACCGCACCACACAGGGCCCTCCTTGCCCTACCACGTTATTTGCGTTTTGTCTACCCCATCGAGAAACCTGCACGCGTTACATGGCTACCGTCTCGACCCGCGCACGCACCAAACATGCAACTACTCGTCAGGAGCGGGTTTCCATGGCACTCGACCCACAACCAAACACAAGTATCCTCGGCATCGTTCTGCTGGTCCCCCCCCTTACCCGATTCGGCGTCGCCCCGCGGAGAGGGAAACGGCACCGGCATCGCCTGGATGTCGGTGATGACGTCCTGGATGCTTCCCGTTCCCCTCACCACCAGCGCGGCGGTCTTGGTCGTGCCGCACGCGAGCAGCGAGAAGGCGGGCTGGTGGAACCGAGAGTCGGGCTTGTGGAACACCAGCGACCAGCCCGTGTTGTTGCAGAGGACCTGTTGTCCGCGTGGTTGAAGCAACAACGAGTGAGGAAAGCAAGCGAATCATGCTGTCTCAGACGAGCCTCTTGAGAGATTTTGAGATCGTGGCGCTGACCGCGAAGCGTCCACAACAAGCGTCGAGAACAGCAACAGCAACGGGGGGGTAAACACACCAAGGTTTCTGAGAGCCCTTGCCCGTATCGGTGCGAACGTAAACCAAAGAAAGTAAATACAACAAACGCAACAAACCGAAAACCATACTTTGAAACAAACGTGCCGCATACCACAGTTGGCGGGCCGTATATTCCTAGGCATTTCTAGATAAGCTTCTACTGCTGTTCAACATACCTGAAGTTCGAGCGCCGTCTTGGTGTAGGCGAAGTGGAGGGGAAGAGCAGACATCCTGCCGAGCACAGAACAAGCCGTAGAGAGACCCATGTGAGGAGTTTGTTTTTCATAATGACACAACATACAGAAGACTTCCAATCCACCACCACAGCGCGGCTGTCGAGAACTGGGTAGGACAAGCAGAGAACGGCTACTGAAGGTTGCCTTTGCCATTACCGGCAAGCGGTGCCATGCGAAACGACAAGGACAAGGTTCGCCGACAACAGTATCAAGGCAAAACAACCTCAGACAAATCATTTTTGGGGGCCATTGGCGATTGACGAGAATGAACTAACACAGTTTACAAGCGAACCGCAAGAGGATCATGCATAGGGATACAACCTTGCGGACGCTTGACTACCGCGAGAATACGAGGATGCACCGAGCAACGCACGCCGGAGTCGAAGGAGGACAAGACAAACTTAACAGAACTCCGGCCCCTACAACCGCGCCCCCCTCGGCTACTATTATAACACACATCTACCTTCGGGGTTCACGTACCCCAAAATAACGCGGCAATCGCGACGTGCTGCTGCGGTCGGGCCGACAACGCTCACCTGCGGAGGAACGCCAGCTCGGTGTCGGAGATGGCCTCGCAGTCGGCATGCGCCTCGTGTTCGCCGTTGGGCGCGGAGCCCCTCTCACCCCGCCGCTGGGCGAGGAGGTAGTACATGGCGGCGGTCATCTCGTGCACGCTCATCGGCCACTTCCTGGGATAGCAGCGACAAAAGAGGCAAGGCAAGAGGGTGTATGTTTGCATACGGGGCCTTCGTAAGGCTACAGAAGCATCTTGGCGAGCGAGCGTGGCATGCCTCTGTTTTGGCGGGAGTACCAAATTTTCCTGTTACGCCGCACAAGAGGGTGTTGTTGTTGTTGTTGTTGTTGTTGTCGTTGTTGTTGTCTTCACATTACAAGAGAGTGTGACCTGGAAAAATGCCCAAGGCGTCTGTGCCGGATGTGACCAGGCGCATGAGCAAGCAGACGACACATCACGAACATTCCGTTCAGGGCTGCACGCAGAAGAGATAAAAACATGAAAATACCACTTCTTTTTTCGGTCTTTCCCTCGATGAATTTTCGTAAGTCTACTGCTCTCACTTGTCGACGCCCGAGAGGCGCTTGAGCACTTCCACCGCCTCTACGAACTCCCGACGGAGAACCAAGCCCGCCACACCCGCCGTGCCGTACTTCATTAGCACGTCCATCACCTCCACCGACACCTGCATGGTGATGGTCGCGACATGAACGCACGAAAACAAATGCAAACGAATGTAGCGATGATATCGTCCGTGCGAGTCTTCGGCCACGCCCGTTGTCGGGCCGACGTGTAAACAACCATAGCACCGTTTTTGGGAATCGCGAGGTTTTCAGGGCAGGGAACGCTTTCTCTCCCACCCAGCCGATGCGGGCGTACTCTTTGCTAAGTTCCTACCCGACAGTCAAGGGTGTGAGGGAGGTGTTGGGTCGTGCACACGCACCAGGCTTCAACAGAAAACAACCACTTTTAACAGGATATTTCTCCTGGCTAACCCGGCGTTGCCTCTCAAACCTCACTAGTTAGGTAGACAGAAATTAAAACTACCTTGACGGCCGTGCCCAGCGGTGCCGACTTGGCCACGTAAATAGCGCCGTCCACCACTCGAAGAGCCTTGTCGCCCACGGTGTCCTGCCCGACCGCGAAACGCGCCGCAAAACCGTGAGCAAGAAGGGGGTCCCGTGGGAACGAAGAGCAAGGGTACGGACGTGGCGTTATTGCCGCGGCGGAATTCCAGCCACATACACATGTGATGAAAGTAACGGTTGCTCCTGTACAAGGCCTACATAGCAATGTCACTACTGTTGGTGCCCGTTTAGAATGTGGAGAATATTCCTACCAGTGGGAGAGGGGTTTGGTGCGTGTGTGTGCTGTTGCAATATAGCGTTTGGTCGGCTTGGATCGGTGACGGCATCGCACGCAGCCCCTGGCGGAGGATCCTCTTGACAGCAAATTTGTCTATTTAGGCTCGAGGGCGTTGTCCCAGCGGAAAATGAGGACGAGAAACGCTGTTCTACGCGTGTGCGGCTTGTAGAAGTACGTACGCCGCTGCAGCACAAGAGGCATGTAATTGCATGGGAACCCAACGGAGGCATACTTTCCAATGCTGAGGCATCAACACTGACCCCCAAAACGGGCGTGCACAAGCTCCTGTGACAAAAACAATCATGCCTCCACAACTCACCACTCCTGTGTCGAAGTACGATATGAGACGGTTCTCGAGGAAGGCGTTCACACGCTCAAGTCTCCACTCGACGCGCTCTCGCCAGTCCTCCAGCTCGAGGGTGTGCTTGCAAGGGGTGCATACGCGCTGAGGGCGCAAGACAAACAAAAAAAGGGGCACGGCAAACGTACACTAGTGGGTGTGCGAGGAGGCGCTGGAACAACCACAATGCTGAACGGGCTCGCTGCTTTGAATGATGATGGCACAACAACCGCCAGCCAAACCCCCAACAACATCCTTCAAATGCAGGAGAAGCTAAAACCTCCTCGGGGAAAAGTGCACGTATCTATGCCCCGGGGTACACGGCGCAAGTCCCTACTCTACACAAAAAGCACACCGAGGCGCGCCCATCAAAAGGCGCGCGCCAGCTATTAATAGCAGAGCCGACGACATAGCCTGCTTCTGCAGAGTAATCGAGCTTTGAAAAATCGGTCAATGTGGGAGGGGAGTGTTATCTTACGCAACCTAACGTTCCACACCTGCGGGGCGGGTAGCCCTAGCTTGGGTATGGGGTGCTCGTGCCACGCGTGTTCGTGGCAGAAAGACCCGCCGCAGTGTCGGCAGTGGTGCCGGTACCGGGTCACCCCGAAGTCCTCCCCGCACTCCCGGCACTTGGGCTTCATCTCGAATCGGGGCGGCGAGAACAGCTGCGCAAGGTGGAACTGGGCCTCCTCGTCCCCCTGCCCGGCCTCCCGCCTGAGCCACTCCAGGAGAAGGTCCTGCGACGAGACCGTGCCAGGGGTGCTCCCGTCAGCAGCAGCCTCGCCCGTAGCGGCCTCTTTCGCGCCTTCGACCCTCTCCTTGACGAGGAAAGCGGCGGTCACGCTATCCGGCTTCGTTGGCACCGGCGGGGGTGTCGCAGAGGCTGGGTTAGGAGCCTGGCAGGCCCCCCCCGCGGGTACCGCGTCTCCCGGTTGTTGAACGCCGTCGAGAGCGGTCGCGTGCGCCTGGGCGAGGAGAGGTGTCGACGCCGACAAATCTCCTCCGCTGGTCGGCTCGTCGACTCGTGCCGCCTCGGGCACCCCGCCCGGGAGACTCGCTCCGCCCAGCTCCTCGTAGGTCTCCATGAACTCCCGCATCGACGCCGTGTCCGCAGCAGGCGCGACGGCAAACTCGTCCGCGCCAACGCCCCCTCCCCCGTCCTCGCCGGATTCCCACGACTCGCACAGGCCGTCGAGCGGCCCGCCCCCCGGTCTCAACCTGGGCGGCGACGGGCTGTCCCTCTGGCCGCTGCTGACGCCACTGTCGCCGCCGGCGCCGGCGCCTGGGAACGGCGGCCGGCCGGAAACCATGGCGTGGATGGGGTCCATGGAGTTGCACTCGTCTTCGAAAATCGGGGCGGTGACCCATGGGTCGAGGTCCTGGTGAGGGGAGGTTTCCGTGAACATGACGCGGTAGGAGGAACCGTGGCGAGTGGTGGGATACGTGCCCACTGGCGACAAGATCGACAACAAGCTACGCCAACTGGGGACTCCCAGCGTGGTGCGCCCCGCACTCGTTTGATTTGGGTATGCACACAGGGCCGAGATCGAGTACAGAAACTGCGGAGATGGGGCAGCTCTAGAACGAAAGCGTGGTGCGTACTTCCATCCTCGTGCAGGATTTCTAAACGTCTGTCTTCCCAACTTCAGGGAATGTACAAGGGCATTTCACTCGCAACGGCTAGCTGCCGCGTCCGTCCTTTACCCTGGTTCTTCGTAGTCCAACACAAGAACCTACAGACACGACTATTAACTGTTCGTTCCAATAGTCACCCCTTGCCTTAAGCGTTGCCATCACCGATGCGTCGGCTGGTCTTGCTCTGACGCCGAACCCGAACCCGCCATCGCCGCCGCCGCTGTCACCGTGGAGTCGTGCCGATGGTGACAGGATGGGATCGCCGCTATCGCTTCCCTCTACGACTCCTTGCTTCTCCCCCTTCTCCTGCTCTTCATCTCTCTTCAAGGGCCCTTCCAAGGTGTCGCCGCTTCTGGAGTTTTCCACGAGCTGCCGATCGTACCAAGAGAGCGAACAGAACCTGTCGCGCCACGCGCGGGCCAAGTCAAAAGCCGAAGAAGGGGGAGGATGCAAACAGCACGTCTGCGAGCGCCGCAACACGAACGCAACGTACGTATTCATGACCACCAACAAGGACCCGAGGCGTTCTCTTTTGTATTGAACCAGCTCTCCCCAATACTTCTGCCGGTCAAAAACACTCTCCCCGATACGATACAACAATCGGCCGCAAAGACGCCACGTGCTCCTGCGACACGCCACATCGGCGGTTTTGTCGGCTTCGTTGCCACCAACACCACCCCGGAAGTACCGCACTGCAACATGCAACCGAAACAAGCTCAAAACCCTTCTCTCCCACCGTGTGTTGAGAGCAACCTTACCTAGCGCCCACGCCCGACCAGTCCACCTTGGCGTTGTCCACCTGCCCCGGTGGGGCTTCCCCCCTACGGTGCTGCGAATGCATCTTGTCCACGTAACGCTTGGCGTGGCCGGCGGTAAACCTAGATAATGTCAACAGGATCAGGGGCAAGGGAGGTACCTCAATGGGGGTAAAGGTTGAGAAGAGACTGCCATGTACCAGCGCTGGACCAAAATTCCGAGCCAGTGCACTAGGCCTCATACACCTGCAGGAAGAAGAATTTTACATGACGGCGCGGCGTGTGAGAAAACGTATTGTGCATAAATACATGTGCCGGCCGCCGGTGGCAAGGTCGGAAATCGAGACATAGTCATGTGGTGTGTCCCTTGAGTACATACGGTGCGGGATGGCATGGCCGTACCATATACTCGAGGGACGGACGCACCTTATGGCTGTTGTATCGAATTCGACTTTGGCGCAGACGGTTATCTCATGTAGGCATGAAAAAAAGCCCCTCGCACACAGTACCCTCGCTATCTAAGATACTGCTTCCTGCACGCCCTGCCATGGGAGCTTCACCGCTTTATCCCGTCCGGACATGCTGAGCGGACACCTCTTGGTAGAAAGCCTCAAGCAGCTGCCCAAGAAAAGACGCCAGCGCTGTTTCTTTCGCCTTGTCATCTACGCGGCCACTTACTCTCTCACCTCGCCGCCTCCTGAGACGCCATCGCCGCGTACGACAAATACGGCTGCGACGCCTTGTGAGCGCGTGTCGCAAAGCGTCCCAGCGTGGGGACCAGAGCGGACAGCCGCCCGGACCCTTGCTCGTCGTTTTCAAGGCCAGTTCCAGCTTCCGACGCCGTGACATCGTCACTTGCTTCCGCTAGCTCGCCGGCAGCAGTCGCAAGGGCTTCTGTGTCTGGCGTCGATTCCAATTCCACCGCCGTGTTGGCATCATCTTCGACAGGACCGGTTTTCGAATCCATAAAAAGCGCGCCGTTTTCTGTTTTGCGCGCGAGCAAGAAGGAGAGGTTGAAGGTAAATACTGCTGCGGAATAGTTGTCGACGATGCAAAGCTTGGGATGAAATGAGGCCTCGTGCGAAGGCACGGGATCCACCCATACATCATTCTCGATGTTTTATTCCCTGTCGTTGCCTGACTATTGTCTCGTACTTCCCCACATGTGCATAGTTGATGCCTATAATCGACGATTGACCTTCGTTACCCGAACGCCGAAAAACGTTCCATGAAGCCTTCTTGCAACGGGAGATCGACTGCCTCCATGCACAACTGCTCATGCTCCTGCCTCCTGTTCTCGCCGTCGCTAGGCGGAGGAACGCCCCGCTTGTGTCGTCCGACCTATTGCAGTACAGAACATACCGCTTCGCCACCCCTTCGAATGTTTCCACCCCTGAGGGTTTCTACTGCGTGCGGCCCCCGCTAACACTGCTTCCCCTACCTGGAAGGAATGCTCGTGTAGTCTATAATAGTATACTGGCCGCCGTCGTCCCTCAAATGTCAAATGTCTTTCGCGTATGTGAGTACGTGAGCTTGCAAGGCCGCAGTAATGCAACCTGGCGACCATTGCGACGCCCCCCCCGTGAACCATCGACGTTGACCTTGGGGAACAAGCACCCCTCGCGCATGAACCAGCGCACCGACTTCGTCACCATGACGAACTCCTGTATACCGCTCGTACCGGACACAGCTCATGACACTGACCTGCACTGACTGCTGTCGTTTCACGACGACTGCGTGGCAAGCTTCTCATTGTATCGCCAAAAAAAAGCGTTTTTGAAAATTGTCCCTTTTCCCGTCGGGAGACTCAATACTTGCGCTGCCAACGCGCATGCCAAACGGAACCCTGCGCCGTGTGGTTTGCCACTAAATTATACGTACGAGAAACGAGGCAAGTACACCTGTCTTTAATTCAAGCGCTCAAGAAATTGGCTTGAAAAGGCCTGTATACAACATCCGGTACCATTCCATCATCCTTCTTAATCTAGAGCTCTGATATGTATGGAAGGCTTGATGATGGGGGGGATGGCAGTGTTTTGCAGCGCGTGCTCTCCAGCTAGCTCCCGGCTTTTGCCTTTACTACTGCCGTAAATAAGAGATTAACATTCAGCCCGACACCACCTTACGTCACACTACCACTCCGACGTCTGCCACTAGATAGAACTACAGATCAGAGCAGCAGCAGTAGTCAAGCTGTGGGCGTTGTTGTTGAAGAACGACCGCCCTTTGGCGGAAACCTTGTTGAACTGGTGTGGTTGCAGACGTATGCTACGTGCAGACGACATGCTGTTTCTCTCTGTTCTGTCTCTCTCGTCACTCACACCTATGACATGTAATAGCGGTGCGGGATCATACCTTTGGAAGAGGAGAGGGCACCACTGGAAGTACAACCAAGAGCAGCGTGTGCAGGGACGTCCCCAGCGTCGCACTGCACATGACATTCTACGATCGGCGGAAGGGGGCCGGTGATTGCTCCTGATACGAGGGGTATGTTATCCGCGTAGCGTACCCCCTAGCCACGGTCCGAATCCGAGAGGCAGCTCGAAAGTACCGCGACACGCTGCACATTCAAAGCCACGAGCAGCCCGGTCACAACCCCACCGAGCGCCCGAGACCGCACATAGGTCCACGTACGCGACGGGGGTGCGATTCGCTGCCCTGCCTTTTGGCGAGTGGAGACAAGTTTCCCCAACCCGTGCTCGACGAAGAACGGAGCACCGTGCAGGAGACGCAAACGGACGCGCACTGCCCAAACCGGTGGGGTGAGAGATAACGTGTGTTTTCGGATCATATACGAAGCAAGCGGAAGAGGCGACGGCTGGGCCACGGACACTGCTGCGACGTCTTCGCTCTCTGCGACCGCGTCAGGAGGAGCGAGACAGGAGCGGAGAGACACGGAGAGAGACAATTGAGAGAGAACTGCTGGCTCTTGGCAAAGGCGTTTGATTTGGTTTCTGTTCGCCGTCTCTGCTCTCCTGTCTCTGTCGAGGGCTTTGTCTTTCTCTCGCGCAAAAAAAAGCGCGGCACCGGCGTCTGTCTGTTGAGAGTTGAGAGCCTGCTACAGCAGGTAACTACCAGCCGCAAGCTCTCGACAACGTACTGCTGTCCTGATGCCCAACCGCAAAGGACGGCACACTGCCGCAGCGCCGTCTTCTCTACCCACCGAGAGCGCACTCCCGCCCCCACCAGCCTACACGCAGCCTGCCCCGGGCGGCGGCGGGAGTCGGGGGCGACGAGCTCGGAACGATGGTTCGGACGTGCCGAGCTACAGCAGTCGAAGAGGGAGTGGCGATAGCGCCGGGGCGAGAGACGGAGGGGCTAGAAGAGCAGGGTCGAATCCGACGGGAGGCTCTCATCGAGGTGGTGGCGGAAATGCCGCTGTGACGAACCAAAACGGAGAGAGGGTAGATGTCGGTCGAAATGGGCAGGGCGGCGGCGGCGGCGGCGGCGGCAGCGGCAGGCGGGTCGTGCATCGGGTGGGCATGGATTGCCTGAGCCCGATCAACGTCTCCAGGGCAGAGGGGGCTTCCAGTGGCGGTGAGCTATCGTACGGATAGAGCAGAGGCAATCCAAAGAGAGGACACACGCACAGACAAAGAGAAGAAGGTTTTTGTTTTTTGCCCCGAGTAGCTGCTCTCAGGGAGCACGCAGCACTCAGTGATGACCGTTCAGCAGCTGGAAACGAACCCGTTCGCTTGGGTTTGGTCCTGCTGCCTCTCCATCTAGTCTATTGCAATATCTCCAAACTCTGCAGTTCTCATTTATCGGCATCGTTCCTTGGTTTGTTTGCACCTCCCCTGTGTTACCAAACGCAGTTTGCTGCCACGGAATTGCTTCGAGAGATGATCCTCTCTCGCCGGATACCCTCTGTACAAAATGCATGTAGCTGAATTCGTTCTGTTTCTCGTGCAAATGTTCCCAATATTCATTACGCTGGCCAGCCACCCGCTGCCGTACGCCTTCTCTATCGTCAGTCACGTCGACTCCTGCTGTTGATTGCGGAGGTCGAGGATGCGCCAGCTTCTCTCTCCAACGCTGATATAGTTACCATCTTCTGTGTTTGGCCTGGTATACATTATATCAAGCAATTGCCCCGTTTGGGTTTCCGTTATAGTTGTATACTAAATACCTGATGCGAAGAATCCATGTGCGTCAAATTGTAACTTGTATGCATACACATGTTGTATGCACGTATGCACGTCAAATTTTTAATTTTCCTTTTTTTCGCCATCTTCGTTTCGTTTTTTCTTGGTGGGCGGTTTTAATTTCTGGACACATCCATCTTATCTGCCTCCCGTTCGGTGTTGCAGACGGTACTACTGCTGTTGCCTCTCCCGATGCGGTATGCCTTTTGTACTTGTAGAGATCGGGTTGTGCGTTAAACGTTGTCGTCGAGATGCAACCCGCCGATCTGTGGTTTACCGGTTAGTGGTGGAAAAACGTGAATCGATCAATCCTCTCAGAAACGCTTCCGTCCGGCCGGCCGACGTCCCTGCTGGCGACACCCCGGCCTCTTTCTCTCTCTTTGGTGCGTACCACCCCGCAACTACCTCGCGGACAGCAGCAAGCAGCCAAAGCACTTACGGGCGACGCGAAAAAGATTCCTTCCACGCCAGCCCCAAGATTTGTGTTTTGATGGTAGAACCCTCGACGTAGATTGTATGCATGTACAGTATAGACCGTATGCATACACCAAGTGGTTCTTGATCCAGCCCCTTGGCCAGCTAGGAAGTATAACCTACATACCTACTCCATGGATACCGGCTCTAAGTTTCCACTTTTGATCGATCGCTGAAAGACTGCCCGCTCGAGACCATACCCCTCGTCGAAGGGATGTGTTTCTGGCAGCCAGTGAGTTTGGTATAGGAAAACTGCTGGACGACGGGGTTATTTTGAGTCTCTGCAGGCCTGGTATCCACTGAAAGATCGTTGGTGCCAGCTGGCATGGTTCACATCACCCTACTGACTGCTGTACGTCCCCGTGTGCAGTTCTCCGCTCTGGGTCGACGACGAAAATGACTCTTTTTCATGTCCCCTCTGGCGGACGTGGGGACAATCCGACGGACAAGAACAAAACACACCGAGTGCGAAGAGTCACCCAAGTCGCTCACATTCAGCCTACAGTGTTCATTTGATGGGTTATTTGTTATTTTCCTCTGCTCGTTGTTATCTATTGTTCGGTGACTGTTGGCCATCGCACTCATCACGCGCTGCGACAATACGTGTGTTGTGTTGGCATCTTAAACACCACTGCCACCAAGGCAATTCAAGAGCCGCGTGTGGTCAAGTTCCGGCTTGGGTGTCGTTTTCGTGGGAACAAATATACATTGTTTGGAATTTTAACCATGGAAGAACGCAAGAGGATCCCCGATGATGTTTCGCACACACAAATAAAACCGCACAGCTCACCTCTGAACTTATTCATATGTCTCTCGATGGAGCGAGAGTGCGCCGCTATTTGTAGCAAGCGCGAAATGGAGCCCGACCATATCCGTTTTTTCTTTTACACGCATCTCGTCTACTGTTATCTCTGTCTTCTCTGTGATAGTCTCGGCGCCAGCCACTCTGTTAATGTAAGACCACTCTTGTCTCTATCTCCTTACTGATGCCCCTCACTTCCCCGCCGAGCCAAGCAAGGCAATCTTGACATGGCCGCGCTCATGGTTACTGCACGAATCAATTCACTTTCCCCGCGAAACAGGCATACAGCAGTACAAACTCACACACGTTTATCCTTTCCCTGCGTGTACTGCTGCACGGTCTCCCCAGAAATACAGCAGTATGATTTTCTCCATGTAGCATTTTTTTTCTGAAGTTTTGAAAGCGCGCGCTCATATCTCTTGCCGGGTGTACTTGATGAACAAATCAGCAATGGGGTTGTACATATGAATAGTGCTTTCAATGCTCCCGCCCCGATGACGCCCTTCTACCTCACCCTCGCGGCATGTCCCCGACACAACCGATAACAACCAGTACGAACGATACTGCAGCAGCAGGATGCCGGTGTTGGCCCGCCCGGTGTTGCGTCTCATCAAATTGTTCCATGCCTTGTCCACTACCTTAACTGTCCCCCTATCGTGCTCAAAAACGCAGTGATTACGCCGCTCCACAGCGGGAAGAGCGGGCTGTCGTGCACCACGTCCATCGGGCCGGCGCAGTACATGCGCGAGGAGATGCTCACGCCGTCCCCGCCGCCCAACTGGGGACAGCACTTCGCGACAACGACCGAGCGCGAGCCGGGAGAAATGGAGTTCAAAGACGAGGTAAATACCAACTGGTGAACACGTACCTTTCACCACACACACACACACAAAAAAGGGTGTTCGATGATGCTGCATGCGAGCATCGGAAGGACGGTGGTGGTGATCAGACGCCTCTTGTTGGGTTGTTTTTTGTTGAATGGGCCGGTGTTCCATCGACCGTTCACGTTCTACTCCGTACCAGGTTGCAAGCAACCTTTGCAGGCTTTTCGCGCTCGCGAACAGCTGCTTGCCGTGTGCATACACACCCTCAAGGAATATTTTTTCTCCCTTACTTGTACTTGAGGTTATTTTTGTTCCTTAGGCTGTGTAGGCCGCCGCCCGGCTGTGCGAGGGATGTATCGCAGTGGCTGCGAGTGTGAGGGGGCACTCGCTCGCCAAATGCCCTCCTTGGCACGGGTGTTTTCGTGTTCTCGTACCGGTTGGCCTGACGGAGCTCGTGGGAGGGACAAGCCGTATCGTTTTGTTTTGTTGTGCCAGAAACAGCGCTTCAAATATGCTGCTTCGTTTCTGTATTCCGGTACATTTCTGCCGTGGACTACATTGCTGTGCAGTAGATGAAGCTCCCCGGCTTTACGCCAATGCAGAAAGAATCTCAACACACAATGCTCGGATGTCGGTGGCTAAGCTACGGTACTGGTCCTGGCGATGGATCTTACGTCGTCTCCAACAGTCCCCCATACCCGATGCTGTCCGATGCCGCGATCTTTCCAAGCAAGGTAGACCGGCCGCAAGCACCAAAAGTAAGACATCATCCGCGAATAAATTGTGATGGCCAAGGCTCCACTCGCGCAACCAACATGGTTTCCTGATGTACATGCGAACTCGCCCGTAATATTCTTTCCGTCCGTCCATCGCTGCAAACAAAACGAATGGAAAACTTTGACTTTTTAGGAGGAGCGCGCTCGGGCTGCCATGACTGATCGGGAGGCTGACTTGGAGCTGGGCGATAGTGGCTGGTGCGAGGTTCGCAAGACGCGTTACATCAACTACATCACGGTGACCTTGACGCACGTGCTCATCTTCCTCGTGCTGGGTACCCGAGGGTACACCATCGTTCGCGACACGCTGAGCGACGGGTGAGATACAGTGGAGATTAAGGGTTTGGTTGCGATGCGTTTTGTTCGATGCGTACTTGTTCTCTTTTCTCTCTCTCGGTCTCTTTCTTTCTCTCCTTCATGTTTTGTGGTGTGTTGCGGAGGGCGTGGTAGCTCGTCTCGTCTCGCAGGCTCTTCGCGATTTTGTCAACGGAGAGGGTGGAGTGTCGTACTCGCGTGTGTATGTGTGTGATTGATTGCCATCGACCGCGCCAACCTCCTGACCAATCAAAAGACGTCGGTGTCAGCGGGTGCAAATCAATCGATGTCCCTGGAAGAGGGCCGAAATTGTAAGGCGGGCTTCGTCCATGATGTCACTGAAATCTCCTTGTGTGTTTGTATCTTCACGTTTAGCGTCGCTACCTGAGTGAGTATTGAAGAGGCGTCAGTATGTGTGTGTGTGTATGTGTTTTGTTGTATGGGCGGGCGGGCACTCACGAGCCCTGGCTTATGCAAGAGCGAGTAATTGTTGTTGACCTTGGCAGCGTCTCCGGGGGACTAGAATAGACGAGACATGCACAAGGGATTTCCGCACCAAGCTATTGCCCTTTGCCCCCTTCCCTCGCAACCCACACATTACGTCGCCGCTCTTCTCCCTCCCCCGCCGTCCTGTTTCGGTGTTTTTGTCGCATCCCTCTCGCAGGTACTACCTTCGATGCGTGGCGTTTTTGTACTATCTTCCAGCCTACGTTTTCATGCTCTTCAGCATCGACTACCTCCTAGCACAGGTGAGCTGCAGATAAACCGTTTGCATTGCTGTAGTAGCCCTTGCAGCCCCGGCAGTTTGTCCGCTCCATGAAGGCTATTGGCAAGAGAGGGGGGTAGGGAGACTTCAGCAGAGGGCGCCAGTTGGTAGCTTTGGGCGTGAATATATCACCACCAGGAGACCGTGGTGGATTGTGCGAAATCGTTTTGATGGATGGCGTCGTTGCCTGGCGGACGTCCTCGTTTTTGTTCCACACAAGGACCCTATTCTTGCTTTCATGGAGTGTTCTTGTGGACAAATCCGGTCTCAACCTGCGTGCCATCAATCGCGTCCAACAGCCCACCCTGCAGCTCGTTAGCGTTGATCGTCTCCACCGCCCGCCACGCTTTCCCCGCTCTCGTCATTATTTCGCCTGTCGCTGTGCGCCGAGAACAGTTCATCTACGCGCTAGGACCGATCGCCCACATGCAGGAGAACTCCAAGTACTTCAGCAGCAAGCCTTGCCCCCGGCCGGCGGTGATGCCTAGAGTAACCATACAGATGCCGGTGAGCAAAGGGCGAGCGACGCAGACACAAATGAGAGGCCGTCACGCAAGAAGAAACACAAGCTTTTTCCTGCTGTACGCATGTTTCGTCTAATATGGGTAGAGATGAGACGAGATTGGTGTGCTGTCCTTTCGTAAGAAAACAAAGGCAAGAGAACGTGTTGGTGCCACACACCACAACGCAACGAGCTTGATTCACCGAGACATAACGAACGCACATCGAAAAGTCTCACGTGAACATGCAAACAGCAGCTTTGCAGTTTCTACGCATTGGCTGTTAGTTGCTCCCATTTGGACTCTTGTGTGCCTGGCAAAATTATTTTGAAAAGGGAAATAGACACAAGTGGGTATACCCACACCTTTCTCGGACAAAAGTGGGTACTCGAAAATCCAGCGCGCGCGCACTCCATAGGCGACCCCCAAACGACTCAAAACCCCATTCTGACACCTGGGCGACACAGCCAGGGACCATACACAGCACGGCATCGATTTTTTCCCACTTTTAGGCACACCTTTGGCCCTAATACCGCCGACGCGCGCAAGGCCTCACCAGAGTGCCCACTTATGTCCGACATCGCGGTGGGTATACCCACCGGCGTCAACTAATTTTTTCATGTACCCACTTGTGTCTGTATTTTGACCCACTTTTGTCCAAATTGTACCCACTTTTGTCCACTTACGGACGGCGAAAATCGAGCGGAAATCGACCTCCACGTCACCGCACGGCAGAACATCGAATAGCCTCGGAACATCTCAGAACCTCCCAACACCGTATCCATGGCATCTTTCCTATCCATGGCTGCCGACTGCGGACCGACTACGGAGGAACATGTCAGAAACATGCCAGACCCCTTCGGTACCGACCGGCACGGGAAGATACCCGCGGTAAGCCCGGCAAGCAGCGCACTAACGGCACGCCACAATGCGTGACACACAACGGACAACACAACCAACGGGTCGCGCATACAGAACAAAAGACGCGCAAACAGCAACAACACACACCAAAACACCAGCCACCACGACGAGTGCACACCGACTCGTCACGGCGACAGTAGGCTTGCCGCGGGTATCTTCCCGTGCCGGTACCGAAGGGGTCTGGCATGTTTCTGACATGTTCCTCCGTGGTCGGTCCGCAGTCGGCAGCCATGGATAGGAAAGATGCCATGGATACGGTGTTGGGAGGTTCTGAGACGTTCCGAGGCTATTCGATGTTCTGCCGTGCGGTGACGTGGAGGTCGATTTCCGCTCGATTTTCGCCGTCCGTAAGTGGACAAAAGTGGGTACAATTTGGACAAAAGTGGGTCAAAATACAGACACAAGTGGGTACATGAAAAAATTAGTTGACGCCGGTGGGTATACCCACCGCGATGTCGGACATAAGTGGGCACTCTGGTGAGGCCTTGCGCGCGTCGGCGGTATTAGGGCCAAAGGTGTGCCTAAAAGTGGGAAAAAATCGATGCCGTGCTGTGTATGGTCCCTGGCTGTGTCGCCCAGGTGTCAGAATGGGGTTTTGAGTCGTTTGGGGGTCGCCTATGGAGTGCGCGCGCGCTGGATTTTCGAGTACCCACTTTTGTCCGAGAAAGGGGTGGGTATACCCACTTGTGTCTATTTCCCTTTTCAAAATTACAATATCACACCCTCGAAACAGCGCCCGTTTGCGCCATGCCTCCTCGCTCAGACTCAACATATCCTGCCCCCCCCCCTTCTAAACACGTCAACAGGTGTACAAGGAGAATCTCGTGGAGACCATCCTGCCGTCCATCCAGTCCGTCATGACTGCCGTGCTGCACTACAAGAAGATGGGGGGGGAGGCGAACCTCTACATCAACGACGATGGCTTGCAGGTAACAAAACACGCTACGGCAAGTATCTCGAACCACACGATAGCGGATTCACGATGCGATGCGATGCGATTTGTGCAGCAAGCACCCTGGTCCGGTATGATGGGCTCTGGCACTAAGAACCGTCGGCGGACGAGGATACCTGTTCGCAGGTCTATTCGAGGCTATCTTATCTTTACGGTTGCGTTTCTGGCCAGTGTGTACAATACAATACATGGATGCGACCTCTCAAGAAGCAGTCGGAGTTAAAGCAAATGCCTGGAAGAACAAAGGGGGGCATGGCATGGCAGTCTGGGGCGATGTTGAGCCACGGAGCGGCGGCTCAGCAAAATTTCATGATGGTTTTGTTGCGCGAACGAATCGCACTGCTGTGAAGACACTCATGTTGCCTTGCTGCTGCTGCTGCTGCTTCCGCCTCTCTTCGACCTGCTCCTTCCCGCCGCCGCCGCCGCCGCCATTTCCCGTGCGGGAACCGAATTTAACCGAGGAAAGGTCATCTCGGAGAAGGAGCGCAACGCACGGGTGTTCGCCTACAAGAGGCACGGCGTGTCGTACGTGGCGAGGCCGCCGGCGTCCATCCGCCCCCGGAAGGGCCTGTTCAAGAAGGCCTCCAACCTCAACTACGGGCTGAACGTGGCCATCAGGGTGGAGGAGATCATGGCGGAGTCTGGCGGCCAGGTCACGGACCCTGTCGAGGTGGGTCGGGCGCAGTAGCCTTGGCAGTGCTTTTCTATTAACTGAACGTGTTGGATGAAGCATGCAATCGGGGAAGTTAAGTTGCGTTACAGGGGGTTAAGGGTTGGGTTTGGGATGTAGGGTCTGCATCCCCCCTCCCTGCTCTATTTCCTCATGAAATTGTTCTGTTTCTCTCGAAGGCGCTTCGTCGGGCGACATATGGCTACGGCCGCAGCCAGGCTTGTTTTTTTATAGGTGTAGAGTTGGACATGAGGGTGTGAGATCGAGGTCTATACGGTAGAGGGGTGGGTCACGGGTGTGGTAGAGGTGCAGCATGGTGAAGGCGACGGCAATGGCGACTGTAGACAGACAAGTTCTTGGAGCTGGTCTCCGTCAGTACTTGGTAGACAAGGGCGTGTAAGAGGAGAGTGGTACATCACATCACAAGAGCGTGTTGACTGCCTGTCCAAAAGGTAGCCGGATGAGTTCTTTGTGATGCACGTTGGTTACTGGCGTAGCGGTGTTTGTTGTCGATTAACCAAGCATGCCTCGAAGACTTGGGATCGTTGAGGGCGCGAAGCATGGTCGTGCTGTAGTCTTGGAGTGAAACCGAACGTCGGCGTTTGTTCTTGTTCTTTTTGTGCCGTGTGGGAGTGTGCTGGATGGAGTGCGCACCCGCGACGATGTTCCTCGGAAGTCCTTCGTCCACCCCACGTTTGTTGACTTGTGTTCTGAGGCAAAGACACGAATACAAGCCCTTTCCTTTGGCGTAATTTCAGCGCCATGTTGACGTATGTTGCCGATACACCCGTGGTACTTCACGGTTCCGAAGAGTGCTTTGCGGTAACTTTTTTTACCTGACGTTTCTTTCTTCAAAACAACAAACAACGTTGGACGGTCGCGCGTAACGCAGGCTCTTCAGCTGGTGAGCGGGGAGTTTAACGATGAGTTCTTCGCGGGGGGCGATGTGCGCATTGGGGACATCGTCCTGTTGGTCGACTCGGACACTCGAGTGCCCGAGGATTGCCTGTCCAAGAGCTCAGGCAAGTCGTCTTCGCGGAGGCGTCATAGAGCAACAACAGTAGCAGTATTTCATGAATACCTCAAGTGCAGCAAGTCTCCTACAATTTATGTGAACGATTTAGTGAATATTGTACGTCGTTCACGCGGTAATTGTTGTCTCAAGGTACTTATCGGTCTTTCCGTCGGTCGGTGTGTGCTGCTTGCTCATGAGCAGGCGAGTTCGAGCGGTACCCCCAGGTGGGGTTCATGCAGTGCAAGACCACGTCCATCCGCATCCACAACAACTTCTGGGAGAACATGATCGCTCGTTTCACCAACGACGTGTACAGGTGGGCACACATCAGGCAATTTAGTAAGAAGAGTCGCGAGATGCGTGTTCTATTGCTGTTGTTGTGTTGCTCAGTCTCGGGTAGAGGATGAAATATTTATTTCACCTCATATTTATATTCATTCTGACGGGCGTGTCCCCCCTCCCCCCCCGCAAAAGCCGAAACCACGGCAGGCAAACGGGCGGTTCCTAACCACAATATCGGGCATTTGTATCTTTTTTCTTGTGAGAAAAGTCTCCGGCACCGTTTTTGTACGCACCACCACCCCCCTCCCGTTTTGCATTTGTCACGTAATCTCTCATGGGCATGCGAAATTTCTTGTGTTTTTTGCGCAGCGTGGGTATTGCCATGGCCGTGTCGTCTGGCGACCCCGCTCCCCTGGTTGGCCACAACGCCTTCCTGCGATGGTCGGCCATCAGGGAGGTGTCCTGGGTGGACTCGAAGGATGGGGAGCGTAAGTTCTGGTCGGAGGCGCACGTGAGCGAGGATTTCGACCTGGCTCTTCGGCTACAGGTGGGCAGGCTTGTGCCAGTATGTTGTTTTGTTTATGGCGGTGGTTTTGGTTCGTTATCAGCTATCCTGTTTTGTTTTGTTTTTTGGCGTGCGGTATTTTTCATTTTTTGGGTGCGGTGGATGTACGGAGAATGCAGGAAGATGTTATCTTACCGCGAAAGGCCTCCATACGACCCGCAACAATCGATGCCCCACGTTATTTTCGTTCAACGCACGTTGACTCCGCGGCTGCCTTTGTCACAAACCGCTTTCCCTTGATTACTGCTCGACACCCGTGTTCTTATTATTCCCTCCTCCGGTGGCCGTGCGCAGGCGCGTGGCTACATCGGGCGTTACTGCACCTACACCGGCGAAGGGTTTCAGGAAGGCGTTTCGCTCACGGCGGCGGACGAAGTCATCCGTCTCAGGAAGTACGCCTACGGCAGCTGCGAGATCATGCTCAACAAGTTCACGGTACGTGCACTTGACGAATTGACTTGACGCGCCTTGTTGGTAGATATCGTCGAGGAAGCACATCAACCGGTTGCAGCCTTTGTGTGTTTCCGTGTTTCCGTCGGAAGTGCACGGTAGAAAGGCAAGGACACATGGACGACGTCTAGCTGGGTTGCGACGTTTTTGTGCCGGGATGTTCTGTCATCTTGGGCTGTTTCGTCTTGAGGCAAGCTTTTTGCTTTATGCTTGGTTAGCCGTCGGGCCCGGTTCGTTACCAGCTGCACGTCGGACCGAAACGTGTATTGAGCAGTTGTTCCCCACGTCCTTCTTGTCGGAAACTCTCCCTCGTGTGGCTGGGTGCCTTGGGTGTGTGCATTCCGCCTTTGCTGAGGACGGCTGCCTTATATGTCACCGTTTCGTGCCACACCTTCGCATGCGTCGTCCATCGGGGGACAAGGGACGCACGGTACGCCCGCCGCCTGCCGTTCGTGTCTTCGTACGTTCGACAAGGAAATGTGCATCCACAACTTACCGCACGTCTCGCTGTTGTTGTCCGTTATGTTAGAATGGCCATCCACAACGTAACTCACTCGCTGTTGTCTGTTGTGGTTATTTATTGTTATTTGTGGTTGTTCCAATATTCCACAACTTAACTCACTCGCTGCTGTCTGTTATGGTTTATTTGTGGTTATACAAATATGCGTTTTTCTGTTTTGTCTCTTGGCAGAAATGGCCCTGCTCCGGGCCCATCACGTCCATGTTCTGGCGCTACTTGCTGGCCGGAGGGGTGCCCTTCCCGGCTAAGATTCGCATGATCGCCTACCTCTGCACGTACATCTCCATGGCCTTCGCCTTCTACGGCATAGTGGGCTACCTGGCGGTGAGTGCGGTCGGCTCGGCTCGGCTCCGCTCCGCTCATTAAAAAAAGTGGTTTGTTTGTTGGTAAACGAGCGTCCCAAGTTACGCTCGTTGTGTTCGGCGTGATTGGGTGTAGTTGAAGTTCGCGGGGCGTTCGTTTGGCGAAACAGGACGATTGATGCCTATAGAAGCCGAAATCAAACCATAAATATGGTTTGATTTCGGCTTGTATAAAAGTTATATGCCGCTGAAATTTGACGGCGAACCACGTTGTTCGCGAATGCGATGAAGATGTGCTAGTGGTTGACCTTTGGCGGGGACCACGACTTCCTGGGGAGCATAAAGACCAACTGTTGATACTGCTTATCACTTCAAAACATGAGTGTTTCGGCCTAACCCCTTTCCCTTCCCGGCGGCCTCCTTTGACAGGTGTGGATCGTGCTTCCCGCGGCCCTCAAGTTCCTCGTCAACCCATTCGACATCCTCATCACCGTGTGCTTCGTGTTCGGCGGGTGCTCCGTCTTCGGCGTGGGCATGATCACGTACCGGAACGGGTACTCGAGGAGAGCATCGCTGCTTCGCTCCTTCCTGGACCAGCTCGTGAACGCGCCCATCATGCTCCTCTTCTTCTCGCACGTGCTGTGGCATCTCACCGTCGTGTGCTTCAGGTGTGTCGCCGACGAAGGCGATGGTCTGGTCTTCTTTTCTGTGTTTCTTGAGTAGTAGCATCGACCGCGCTAATCGACTGACCAATGAAAAGACGTCAGCGCCAGCGGGTACAATGTGTGTGCGTGTGCGTGATTTGCGCCACTGAGGCAACCCATTGTATGTTGATGCGTGGACTGCTGTTTGCGGTTGGTTTTAGCTGAGTGGGTGGTGGCTTCCTTGCTTAGTCGTCACAGGCGTCTCCGGCGGGCTGGTTGGGAGGAGTGGACCGCTGTCCCGATACGTCCAAATGGTTTTGGACGGAAGGAAGGAAGATGGCAAAAAAGCGACTTGATCCCAGCTTCCTTGCGGGCGTTTCGGATCTTCGTGCTTCGTGACCACCCCCGTGCTTTCTGTCTGCTATTAACACGTGTTGCCCCTGCCCCTGCCCCTGCCCCTGCTGCTGCTGCTGCTACAGGTATTTCTTCGGGATGACTGTGGAATGGTCAGCCTCGGTGAAGGAAGTTTCGCAAAACGACTTCTGGACGGAGGTAAGAACTTTTTTTTTTGCTAATGTCCCGTGCGCTATTATAACTGCGTACCACCTGCCAGTGTGTTTTGTTCCCTGTGGTCATTGCTGTTCTTGTTGCGGCTCCAAGCGAATCGTTTAGTCATTGTGTGCCCGCTGCTGTGTTACCCACCCTGGTGCGTTTTTGTTTTGTCACTGCTTGCTGTTGCGTGCTCGCTCGCGCCGTGGCTGTTAGGCTCTGCCCTGCCGTCTGTATGCCGACTCGCGGTTGGTTTAAGTCTAGGCCTAGCCTGCAGCGGAATATCTGGTAGCATCCCTGTGACATGGCATGCTTTATACGACCGATAATAAGTGTTGTTGCTTTCCAGGTCCTGTAACGATGCACTGCGCGTCCTCGCGAACCAAGCACCGACTCCGTAGTTTGTAACGCGCACGTGCGGTCCCACTTTCTTTTGTTCTTTCTTGGAATGCCACGGAACACGGAACACGGAAAACGGGACAAGGATGATGCGGATCCCAGTGTTAAGCTTTCCCTTCCCACCCATAACTCTCCGCCGCCGCCTTTTGTTTTTCGTATCTCTGTCGTCGTCTGTGCCACCAGGTGGTCAACACGTTCCGGCGGTATGGGCGCACGTTCCTCATGATGATGCTCTTGGCCGGGCTGTTCGTGGGGGTCATGTGGTACTTCGAGGTACGCAACCGGGCTCCGGAAGCAAGCGGTCTAGGCTAGTGGTGTAGGCATCAGTTGTGGACGACAACACCCAGCAGCTGCGTGGCTGCTGGCTTGCATGCGAAATGCCGTATTTTCTTTCACTGCCGACACCATTACGTAGCGCAGCGACGTGCTGGAAAACAACGGCCTGAGGTTCTGATCAAATTCACGCGCGGAAGGTCAACACTCTCTCCCTGTGGTGCACATGTGTGTGCCTCCGTTCCGTTGCTTCAACTTGCTTGTTTTTGTTTTCTTGTGTTGCGATTGATGCATAGGTGGGGTGGGACATCAGGGTATACCTGCCTACCTTCATCTACATCGGGTCCCACATTCTGGGCCCCTTCCTGCTGAACCCTGTCATCATGCGCGGGTACTACTAGACGAAGGATTGAAGGAAAGCCCCGGTGGGTGGTTGCGCAACATCCGCTGCTAGCCAATAAGCGCGCGTCGCCTCTCCTGTTGTGGCATCCATAACACGCTTTGGGCCATTGGAGGTAGCATCCGCCTCCCGCCCAAGCGCCGCGGAGAAGCCTGGTGCTGCTGCTTCGGCATTCTAGACGGGAAAGCTTTTTCTTAGCGGGAGGTGTTTCGGGAGCCGACATGTTTGGTCATGTTGGGTGCCACGAAGGACATACCAACCGTTTCGCCTTCGAATCTCGGGAAAATCTCTGGAATGTCGGGGTCGCTATGAAGCAACTTCGGGGGGGGGGGGGGGGGGGGGGGGTAATTTTT